TTATCCTCTAGAGCACTCCCAAGGCTTATTGAGTTACTTCTAATCATTGGCCCATTGTGATCTGCAAGGAGGAAAGGGGAAGAGATGGGCCCACCCCATTCAGATTTGAAAATATGTGGCTACATCACCTGGAGTTCACAAAGAAAGTTAGAGAATGGTGGGAACAATGTCACCCTTCAATGGAATGGGAAGGTATGACCATATGAGGTTTCACAAAAAGCTCCAATTCTTGAAAGCAAAGATCAAAAATGGAATCTCTTGGAGTTTGGTAGAATTGAGAAAAGAAAGAGTACATTGATGGATTAAATAGAAGAATGAGGAGATTTTGCAGAAGAAGACAAGGTACAACGAGGGAGACCAAGGAGGCAGCTAGAGGATTGTGTACGTAAGGAGGAGAGTAGTTGGAGACAAAAATCTCGTTGTAAATGGTTGAAGGAGGGAGACAGAAATACAAGTCTTTTTTCATGCAGTAGCAAATGGGAGGAGGAGGAAGAATTCTATTTCTAGATTGGAAGTTGAGGACTCAGTCCTCACTCACCCGAAGGAGATAGCAATGGCATTTATAGATCACTTTAAGTCCATCTTTAGGATACCATTAGGTGAGAGGGTTTGGCTGGAAGGTTTGGATTGGCCAAGTATTGGGGTTGAGAACAGAGAAAAGATGGAAAGGGGGAATGAAGTGGAGGAGATAAAGGAAGTTGTTTTCTCCATGGAGAGAACAAAAGCTCTGGGCCCAAATGGATTTACAATGGCCTTCTATTAGGATTGCTGGGAAATATTGGAAAAGGATTTAATGCTAGTGTTTGATGAGTTTTATAGGAGGGGAGTGATTAATCCTGGGTTGAACTCCACCTTCATTGCTTTGGCCCCAAAGAAGAAGGATGCCTTACACCAAAAAGATTCCAAACCTATATCAGCTTGGTTAATGGTTTGTATAAGGTAATTGCAAAGGTGTTGTCTCTTAGACTAAAGCTAGTACTGCCTACCATTATTGCACCAAACCAAGGAGCCTTTGTGAAAGGGAGGCAAATAACCGATCAGATTCTCATTGCAAATGAAAGTGTGGAGAATTTTAAGAAGGGTAGGAAGAAGGGAGTGGTCTGTAAGTTGGACTTAGAAAAGACCTGACTTGGTTGATTGGGCTTTTTTGAAGGAAGTGATGGTAAATTTCGGGTTCGGGGGAAGATGGTGCAAGTGGGTCATGGGATGTGTCAGGAACTGCCACTACTCTGTGTTAGTAAATGGAACTATGGTGGACTTCTTTCTAGCTTTAAGGGGGAATAAGACAAGGAGACCCTCTATCTCTTCTTGGCCTATGTCCTACTTAGGGCTTCTGTTAGGGGCAAACCCTAGGGAGAGTAGCTTTTGGACTTGGTGGTGGAAAAGTTTGAGAAGAGACTAGCCTCATGGAAGAAGAACTACATCTCCCTAGGAGGTAGGATCACTTTAATAAAGGCTACTTTGGCGAACTTACCCACTTCTTGTTTGTGTTTAGGATACCACCTAGGGAAGCAAAGAAGTTGGAGAAATTAATGAGAGATTTCCTATGGGAACCAGGACAAGACAAAAAAGGATCACTTGGTTAGGTGAGAAGTTGTGTGCAGAAGTAAAGAGGAGGGTGGATTGGGCATAGCAAGGGTGGTTAAAAAATTTTAGCATTTTGCTAGGGAAATGGCTTTGGTGTTGGCCTTTGGAAAAAGAGAGGTTATGGCATGAGGTGACTGCAAGCATCCACAGTAGTTCAGAGGATGGATGGGACGCTGGTGTATCAAGACAGGCTAATTCGGCAGCACCTTGGAAGGCCATTCATAACACCCTTCCTCAATTTCAGGTATGTTAGGTATGAAGTCTGTTCTGGAAACTGTCCGGTTTTGGGAGGATGTTTGGGTGGGAAATAACCCCTTAAAAGACCTTTTCCCCTTGTTATACTCTATCTCTCTTTATAAAAATGGGTCTCAAAATTTGTTTCAACATCAGGAACTCCTTTGGCTTTGAATTGGGATTTTGGCTTTCGTAGAGGGTTAAGGGATAATGAAGTTGATTCTTTGACTGATTTTCTCTCCCTCCTCAGTCAGGTCTGTTTGGACCCAACGGAGTCAAATAAGAGGGTGTGGGTTCCGAGGCCCAAAGGGACCTTCACTTGCACCTCTTATTTCAAGTCTCTTTACCTTTCTCCTAGTTATCAATTGTTCCCTTTCAAGGAAGTTTGGTGTAGGCCAATTCCCCCAAAGATCATGGCCTTTTGTTGGGAAGTGTACCTTGGGAAATTAAACGCTTTAGATTACCTACAAAAGAGAAGACATCTCTTGTGTATTGCTCCCAATTGGTGCGTTCTCCGTAGAGCTCATGGGGAGGATTGCTATCACTTATTGATTCCCTATCCATTCTCAGAAGAGTTATGGGTTTGGCTCCTTTCATTGTTTGGGTGTAGCTGGAAACTACCAGCAGATGTATGCATGATTTTGACCACTCTACCTTCTCTTGGCCCAAAAAAAGAGAGAGAGTCATGTGGAGATGTGCTCGGGCAGCTTTGCTTTGCACCTTATGGGAGGAAAGAAATGCAAGAATATTCCAAGAAAAGGAGAGGAACAGCCTTGGTTTGAAGGATTGTGTTCTGAATAGGGCAATACAATGGCTAAAAACCATGGAGCTCTTTCAGCAATTCTCCTTTAGTGATCTTTGGAGAAACTGGATGACAGTGGCAAACTGTTCCTCCACTACGATCAGGGTAGCTATGAGGTGGATTCCCCTGCTTGCAGGATCTGTGAAACTGAACTTTGATGGGAGCATACAGTAGCAAGCTGTTCCTCCACTAAGATCTGGGTAGCTATGAGGTGGATTCCCCCGTCTGCAGGATCTGTGAAACTGAACTTTGATGGGAGCAACCTAGGCAATCCAGGACCTTCTGGAATGGGGGGAGTGTTGAGAAATCAGAATGGAGAGACAGTCTTGCTGTACTCGGGTCCTCTGGGACATGGAGATTCTATTAGGGCAGAATTACTAGCCGCTGTACAAGGGGTTCTTTTTGCAAACCAGATGGAGGTGGATTATTTGATTATTGAAGAGGACTCTAAAGTAGTGGTGAACTGACTGAATAACCCCCAGAACGCTGCTTGGTGCTACAAAAATGAAATCAAGTAGTTCAAATGGCTGACGAGGAATATGTCTACTTCTATACAGTGGGTGGGAAGATCAGGAAATGCTTTGGCAAATGTGTTAGCCAAGCAAAGGGCAAATAGGGAAGACCTATTCTGGGCTCAATTGTGATCTGTGTTGTAAGTAATTTCCTTGTAATTTGTTGGGGAGGCTGCAACTCGTGTGAGCTTTCATTCTCAAACCTTTTATGATTTAATAAAATTTCATCATTTATCAAAAAAGAACAAAAGGCTTAAACTAGGGTCTAGGGTGGGACTGTCTGCTTCACACAGCCATGACCATAAATAGGAGGAGGATTAGGATTGGAGAAAAGTGCACAAATGAAGGAAGCACAAGAGACACAGCCAAACTTGCAACAGGTCCAAATTCCTATGCCAGTCAGAGAATGGTCGAAAGGAAAGCTATTACTAATATTCTTTTCCTAGTTCTCAGTGTCTTCCAAGTTCCAAGTTGGACCACAGGAGTAAGGCCTGCAAAGCTTGCAAGTAAAAATTCATCCTAGATAAAGGTTTATCTAGGTTCCACATGACATCAACTCACTTCAAAAACCTTCTCAACTCCATCCAAATAGGTCTTCTTTCTCCCACTTGTAATCACTTTCTCAACTCAATTCAGTTTTAACCTCAACCTTTTGTGGCTGTCTATATGAATCTTTTTTTTTTTATCCATAACATTAGATCTCATTAAAACTTATAGAAAGATAACAACCAAACTAACATAGTCTGGCCCCAAAGGGATTACTACATTACAGCCCAAAACACTTGATTTCTAGTTACCCCTTGCTTGGCTAACAAATTTGTTAAGCCATTTGAAGATCTTCTAACCCAATAAAATGTTGTTTGGATCTCCCTAGCAATGCATCCTATTGCCCTCAGGGCATAACCATTTGAAGATCTTCTAACCCAAGAACATGTTGCTTTGATCTCCCTAGCAATGCATCCTATCGCCCTCATGGCCTGTCTATGAGTCCGCACACCTCAATTTCCACTTTGCAGACAAGAAACTACTAGATTAGTCACCACTTACAGTTCTTCATGCCAAGCCTACATAAGGAATTTCATAGAATATATAAACCAAGGCCGACTTTCTTAAATTGCAAAAATTTCACCAATCCTAGAAAAAAGTGGCAACTTAATGATTTTCACCCAGATACCTTTCCAGGATTCTAGATGAACTGATAACTGATGTATGAAACTTTAATTCTAATAAGGATCTGATGTGGGAAAGTTTAGATGTGAGAGGACAGTATGGATAAGGACAACTAATCCTAGCCATTTGATTTGATATTAGGATTCCTGGTCAACTCTGAGTTTCAGGTTGTATAAACCCCATCGTAAGGCTCTTGAGGATCCATTACAGTTGCCTGATAACTCAAGAAGATCAGCACACTCTGATTAGAGAGAGACTGGATGACCGAAGTTCTAACCAGTAACAGCTAAAACAATGGCATTCGGATCTACACAATCAGGTATGGTTGATATATTTGATTATAGAATAATAATGATGATTAAACGTGTTCTTTTGTCTTCCGAGTTAAAAACTATCAACTTTTACCTGCCAAGCAGAATCGAATCTGAGCTATCATATCGCATGCACCACTTGACTACTAAATCCCAAATATATCCTACCACAGTATACACAGTGGACTAAAACAATGTGATCCTGATGAACTGAACTGGTTGATGTTCGTTTTTAGCAAAAACCAAACCCACAAAAAAGCGCAGAAGCATCAGAGATCAATAATTCTAATATATAATGAAAAAAGGGAAAATTGAAGTTTAGACGATATAAATTTACAAATAAATAAGAACACTATATGTGAATAGAAGAAATAAACAACTGACCTCCACTCTCCCTCTTCGTATGGAGAGTAATCAATGTCTTCTCTTCTGACGCAGTTGAACATCAAAGCGGCTAACGATGCAAAGATCCCTGCCAGAGGACAAACAAAAATGAATACCAGAAATCTAATCACCATCTGAATAGGGATCAAAGGTGAGAGTAGAAGATGGATACAAAAGAAAAAAAAAAAAGGTAAAAACCTGGGAGATAATGGACGAAGGAGACCTTGACGGAACTGCAGACGACGGCGTCAACCCAAAACCACCAGCCGGCGCCGAAGACTGCACCGGCGAAGCCGGGACCAAAGATTGTCCATAGCTCCCTCAAATCCATCACAAATTCAAGATGCTCTACTCCAGCAGAAACAGCCTTCGTGCTTAAGCTAAACGGTAAGAGAAGAGGATTCCACCAGAGAAACAACACTGTCGTCGAACTGCCAGCTTGCTTTCTTTTTCTTTTCTTCTTTCCTTCCTTGAGAAATGCTAATGGTACAAATTTCTTTTCCCGTATCCCTTACAAATTCATTTTAAACCACAAGACTAGAATAATTTGCATGGGTTCACTTAAAATGATATAATGTTCTAGATTAGTGGTGTACGATGTGTTTATAAAAGAATACAAAACAAAATTCTGTTATGCCTTTATGTTTTATCAGAGTTATGAGCCGTCTCTCGAATTATATGATCATCATGGGTATGGACCTTGGGTTTATCGTGTGAGTTGTGACGTGTTGATATCATTATTTTTGTTATACCAGAATCGCTATCTGATAGGATAGCGAATTCCGGAGGAATAAATCGGCTAACGTAGAGACATGTAGCAATCGGGCAATGTCTGTTTCAAATGCAAATTTGTATTTGTATAAGGTTTTGTAATTTACATATTTGTATTTGTATTTTAAGGCTCTGTTTGGAATGAGTATAAATGCAAATTTATACAATATAAATACAAATAAAATAATACAAAATATAAAATTTTACACTTTACATAATTGCATTTCTACTCCTTTCAAGCTGAGCCAATGAAATTTCTTGGTCAAATTATCTCCCTTTTGCTCAAATCCCTCTAAATTTTATGATTTTTTATTTTGAAAAATAAAAAATGCAGTGCTATTTAAACTCACCCGCAACAAGGAGTGGGGTTAGTGGTATTATTTATTCATTTACCTTCGTGTTGGTAACATTTTTTTTTATTGCAATAAGGATGGGTTTTGAAGTACTTACTATGACAAGAGAGGAAATGATGGTGAAAATTAATCTAAAAAATGAAAATTCATAAAAACAAAAATGGTGTCATAAATTGATAGAACTCCCTGAAATTTAAGATGCCTTACAAAGAAAGAATCAAAGATACAGGGATGCAAGCTAAAAAAATGTCCATTTTTTGTAAGAATGCTAAAAAATGTCTTAACAAACAAATATATATCTACCAAAAAATATACAAACAAACACATATATATATTCGTTAGTAGATTTTTCTCCACCTTTGGTCCATGAAGCAAATCATCTTATTTCCTTTTGAGTTTGGATAAGCTTTTAAAGATGAAAAGCACAAATTACTAGGGAATATACAAGATAAACCTCTATTTTGATTGAACTATGCCCTATCAAGAACCATAAATAACAATCAAGGTTACCAAGCTACTAGGGAATATACAAGAAATGCTATGATCAAGGATGTAATTCCTACCACCCATGATTAGGAAATTATTATGGGCTTTAAAATCACAACCAACATAATTTGGCTACTAGGAAGTAGCACCGGTGGTAATTAGGCGGGTTGGGTTGGGTTTGCCTTGTGTTGAGCTTCAACCCAATCCATATAAACTGCCAACCCATTAATGACCCAATTGGGTTCAATCCAAACCCACTTTAATTCAATCTAACCTGTCCAAACCCATTAATCTTATATTTATAGATTTAAAAAAACAAACTAAATCTCTATTAATAAATAAGTTGGTCATAGCTTGGTGGTAATAATAATTACTATTTACATAAGTGGTGTAGACTTAAATCACATTACATGCATGTTATTTTTACACAAGCGGCGAAGCCATTTGACTATGTTCAGATTTCGGGTTTGACCGAACCACTTAGGTTCAAACCAGTCAGACCAATTTGAACTATCTAATTAGATTATCTTCAAGCTAATCACATCAAGGGTGTTTGAACCATTTAGATCTGGATCGGTTTGGTCAGACCGGACCGGACCGGTTTAGTCAATGGTGGATTGATTTGGATCGGCCATATTAGGTTTGTACACGGGTTTGGGACCGAAGTGGGTCATCATAAGTAAATCGGGTCGATCCAGATTCGGGCCGGACTGGGCAGTCCAGGCCGGGCAAAGCATGAAGAAACCAAACCATTCTACCCGTAACTATTTCGCATTAATTATAAATTATTTAATTCAAATGAAGAAAATTAAAAAAAAGGCTAAGGAATTAATACTTATGTCTGTAATGATTAACCCAATGGTTATCCACAACCCAATCCAACCCAACCCACTTAAATGGGCGGATTGGATGATGGGTTGATCACACAACCCGCCAAGTAAATGGGTGGCTTGGGTGGGTTAGATACGAGATGGATTCAGTGGGTTGGGTGAAAAATTCCCACCCATACTAGACAGATCCAAGGAAACCACCCTCCAACAACTTCTCCCCATAATGGCTTGATTGTAACACTATCAAACATGATAGTGTAGCATCAAACCCCCATCCAATTTTTTAAGAGGCATTACCACATTCCACTTATAAAATTTCTAGTTCCCCCTACCAAGGAATAGATAGAATTAATCTAATAGACTCCATAAAATGATTCATTCATAATGAACCAAAACAACATAAATCCATTGCAACATGATAATTCCATGCACCTAAACAATTTTTTGAATTAGTAACCGATAATGATTTATTTATCAATCTTACCTTGTAAGAACATTCTAAATCTTCAATAATTGATAATCATTTCCATTTATTTTGATATAAGTTTTTTTTCTTTTTTCTAGTAAAAAGATTGTGAATCTTGTAGTTTTCAATTGGTTATGAAAAGTATAGTAGCATGTAGGTGCTCTATTAGCATGTTCCCTTATATTATACAAGGTTTGTACTCGTTTAGTTGCTTTATCACACTTTTTGAATGGTGACCAAAGAGAAATCTAATTAAAGAATAGATTTTTTACCATTAATCGTGAGAGAGGGAGAGAGGATAGAGAGGGGGGAGAAATATGATTTAAATAAGACAATTTTATCATTAACAATGAGAAAGAAGGAGAAGGATAGAGAGAGAGAGAGAGAGTAGGGATGGCAATTTTCCCCGTCCCCAACAGGTATCCGGCCTCCCCGACCCGATGGGGTCGAGTATGGGGAGTGCTTTGGCAGGGCCGGGGTCGAGGTCAGGGATGGGGCTAAAACCAAGGTACAAAGTATTGGAAATGCAAGTTGTATCGGAAAGGTAATTTTAAGAGACGTATCGAGATATGTTTTGGAAACACATAGATACGGATGAAAAATCAAAATACGCATGGATACACTAGAAAATAAAATAAAATAAAGATCCTTAGAAAATATGAACAACAATAAAAATGAGTTTTATATGATTATAACTAATTTATTTAAACATAAAAATCATTCTTTAATGATTTACATAAAGTATCGGGATATAATTAGTAACCGTTGAAAATTAATAAAACTAAAATATATATTTGTGTATATGTACTAATATTTTTTTGAAGTCATTTATTAGTTAATATTTATTATATATATAGATTTAGATAATATTTACTATGTATGCAAGTTAATATATACCTTAATTTTTAATAAATAAATATAATTTGTACTCAACTTATTATTATATAAATATTAATAATCAAATTTTAGAATTTGTTGGGAAACATTCACCAAGGCAAGAAAGATTACTTTAAGTATAAAAAAGCATGTTGCTTTAATAAGCAATTGAGGTTGGAATAAATGTTACTTAATTATTGTTGTAAGCAAATAACTTGGGTTCGAAACTTGTTACTTTCGATTTTTAACAAGATATTTGACTTAAATAACATTTAATGACATATTAAATGTCATAATTAAAGGTAACTCAAATGAGCATTTAATTAAATAATATTAGCATTTAGTGAAGTCTCAAACTTGAAGGCTTAATTAAAATCAATATTAATGAGAGAGAGAATAAATAAATTAAAATTAAATTTAAAAAGGAGAGGGAAATTAAATTCGGTTGATACATAATGTGTATCAAAACGTTTCAAGGCTAATACGGATGAAAAAATATGAAACCATCTAATTATACATGTTTCGTGTATCAAAACTCTTCCAAAATAATGTGTATCGGCCGATACATTGCAAAATTTAAAACCTTGGATAAACTAAATCCCCGGTCGGGTTTGGGGACAGGGATGGGGAATGCAATCCTTGCCCCGCCCTGCCCCCGATTAATATATATATATATATATATAATATTATATATTATTTATATTATAATATTATATATTATTTGATTAACAAATAACAATTAATTAAATGCAATTACACAAATAACAAAAACTCAAAAAGATTAAAAGACAAAAAATTAAAACTCTCGAGAATCTATTGACTATCTTTTACTGACTGACCTAAACTAATTAACTCAATAACTTAACAGACAAATAAGAAAGAACAGAGAAAAGAACTTGCGGTGGCGGATGAAAATTGAAACCCTACTCTTCTTCTTTTGTTCTTTGTCTATCATCTTCAGTAATTAGTAGTCAAGTGAGGCAACGCCACAAGCCCGCAACGGTCTATCATCTTTGTCTATCATCTCTCTCTCGCTCTCAAGTGAGGCAACGCCACAAGCCCGCAACGGTCCTCTCACAAGTCCGGTTTCTGATTTTTGAAATCTCAAATAGATGTTATAGATCTGAAATTTTGTAACTCGCAAGTTGCAAGTTTAAAGTCTCTCCCTCAAATAGATTTCAATCTATTTCCAAATAACAACTTTGCAAGTTCCTATAAAACTCACAAGTTGTAACTTGGTTTGCATAGATTGATTTATGATTTATTGATTAATGCAAAGAGATAGCTATGAAAAAATTCTTCAGATTTCCATATCCCAGTTACCATATGTTATTTTATCAAAATTTTAGTTTTATTGTTTATTGTTTTTATAATTTGAATAATGACTAAATTGAAAAACAACTACTAATAGAGACTTATGTCATTATAATTTTTAGTTTTATCATATTCTAAAAATTCACATTGATTAACCTCATTGTACTTTAATTAATGGTTTGATCGAATCCACTTAAACCATTGGGTTTATGTTTTTTGTATTTGATATAAGTTGGAAGTGATATTCATCAATCAAAGGTCATCATATACATATATACTTATTATTTAATTCATGTTTAATGTTATTTTTTTATTTTTAGATTTATAATTGATG